ACCCCCATTCCCCTCCCTCCTTCCCCTGCCCCAGCTCAGACCCACCCCAAAAAACACCCCCAGGACCCTTCCCACCACCTCCCGGCCCCCAGCCCCATTTCAAACTGCAGCCCCCTCCCCACTCGTGACCCCCTCAGCCCCATCCTGCCCGGCCCAGGGCTCTGCCAGCCCCCTGCCAGCGCTGCCCCCCCAGCATGGGGCCGCTGGCCATCCCAGCCCAGGGACGGACCCCCAGGGCTCCCAAAGACCCCCTGCTCCTCCCACCCACCCCCAGGGGCTGGAAATGCCCAGCCGGGTCCTGCCAGGAGCAGCGCCAGTGCTGCCATGCATGGGGACGGTGGCTTGGGCCATGTGCACGGGAGGGGACAACCCATGTCCCCCCGCACGGCCGTGCCCATGCAGGACAAGAAGGAGGGATGGCACAGGCCCCTCGCACCAGCCGCCCATCCCCGCCAGCTCCCCTAATCCCGCAGGGAAAGTGGGATGGTGGGGGCTTTGCAATGCCCTAAAACAGAAAGGGCAAAGCCCCTGCTGTGCCTTGGAGCTGAGTGCGCAGGGGGTCCCGGGGGGTCCTGGACCCCCATCCCCGGGTGAAGGAGGTGGTGTGGGGAGCTGGAGGCCCAGCCCCTCTCCAAGGTGCCCAGGATCTCGGAAGACAGGATAAAAAAGAGTAAAAAAATAACTGGGGGAAAAGCTTCCCTGCAGTGGCCGGGAGGGCTCCGTCTCCCCCAGCCATCCCTTCTCCCGGCCCCCTCCTGGCCCCCTCCCTCCGTGCCAGGCTGGCACCGGTCGCGGTGCCGCGCCGGCCGCCGGTGTGCTAGAAGCTGGCGGGTCGTATCAGCATGCGGGTGCCCTTCAGGGAGTAGCTGGGGCCCTGGAAATGGTGCCAGCGGATGCCGTTGAGCTTGCGGATGTTGTGCCGGGCTGGGTAGTAGATGCCGTTCAGGTTGGAGAGGCCACAGGCATCGAACCACCAGCCTGCGAGAAAGGAGCAAGGTGGGAGGGTGGCATCCCCGGTGGGCACCCATGGGTGCTGCGTGGGTGACATCCCTGCCCCGCTCGCTCACCTCCCGACAGCATCTGGGCGCACTTGCAGAGGCAGTTGTCGTTGTCGGCGTCGCGGGTGCTGAAGCGGGTGCCCTGCAGCGCCATGCCACTCTGCTGCCCGGCCGTGCCGCTGTAGTCCTGCAGCGAGAGCCTGCCGCCCGGCCCAGCATGGCGTGGCCACGGCCACCATCAGTGCCAGCTGGCTGCAGCCGGGGGGGGTCACAAAGCCCCTCAGCCCTGCTTGGGGCTGGTTGAAGGCCATGGGATGCCACAAGCTGAGCAAGGGCCGGCACAGAGGGATGCAGGCAGAGATCCTGCAGCTCCAGCTTGGCCTGGGTCTGCTGGCTTGGAGGCCCTGTCCTGGGGGTCCCCGAGGGTGGAGGCCATGCTATGCTGGGGCAGAGAGGACCCCCCCGAGGCTCCTCTGGTCCTTTTTGCTGGGGGTTGACTTGCTGCATGCATGGGATGCAGGGGATCTCCAGGATCTGGTCCCATCTCCAGCCCAGCACCAAAGCACCCAGCTGCCTGCCACCCCTCCTGCCCATGGCCAGGCTGATGCTCCTGGGAGCACACGCCGTCCTGGCAAGCCTGGCGGCAGGAGCGCAGCATCCCTCCCTGGACACAGGTGTAGCAGCCTGGGGATGCCCGGCACCCCAGGAACACCCGGTGGCTGCGGCTGTGTCACTCCCATTTGCCCCAGCATTGAGCTGCAGTGCGAGTGCCCCGGCTGCCTGCTGGCACCGCGCCCGGCTGCCGGCTGCGATGGGAAATCCCGCTGCCTTGATGCAATTTCATGCATTAAAATCTACTTCGGGTTCTCAGGAGCCCACAGAGAGAAGAAGGAGTGGGTGGCACAGCAATGTCCCCTGGTGCCTAGGGAGGAGCTCTGCCGAGCCATAATTCTGCCGGGGGAAATCCCAGCGAAGCCTCGTGTGATCCTGCACCACCCAGGGCCACGCACCTCCCCGGGCCACCGCAGCCAGCCCTTGCCTGTGGCCGCTGCAGCCAGCCCTTGCCCGTGGCCACCGCTGCCCGTGGGGCTTGGGGAACACTGGGGACAGGGAGGGCTGGGTGGCCGCCCCTGCGGTGCCTCTCTCCTACCTGTAAAGCTGCCGCTCGCTCCCCAGCTGGAATTTCCCGTAGTGGGCATAGACCTGGCCGCCCTCCCAGTCCCGCAGCTCGATGCGCAGGGCGTAGGGCGCCTGGCTCGTCAGGAGGTGCACGGCCTCGTTACCCAGCCAGTACTCACCCGCTGCATCCCCGAAGCCCTGGGGGAGCAGTGGGATGGGTGAGCATGGGGTGCCCGGGGTGCCCCCAGGGTGCCCCATCCCCAGGTGGGCGCAGACCTGCTTGTACTCCCTCCAGCTCCTCTGGAAGCTGAGGCTGCCGTTGGCGCGGAGCTGAATGACGGTCCAGCCCCCTCGGTCCGTCTCCATGTCGCAGTACGCCTGCAGCGGGGAGAGCCGGGACGGGCTGCAGAGCGCAGTGACGAGGGCTGGCTCGGGGTGGGCTGCTGGGTGCGTCCCCCCCGGGCTGGGCAGCTCAGCAGCGGTGCTGTGTGGGTGCTAGAGCTTGCCGAGGGGCTGGTGAGCACGTGCTGTGCCCAGTGCCTGGCTGGGGGGTCTCTCCTCCCTCAGGGCCGTGGGCAGGGGCTGGGGCATGGTGCTCACGGGTGGCCTGCGGGGGTGCCTTTAAAATCAATTTTATCCCTTCACCCCCTCTGCAGCCCCCGAGGCACCTCAGCCCCCACGGCCAGATGGGGTGGGGGGCACTGCCCCGGCAGGAGGGGTTGGGATGCGCCCATCCCACAGGGATACCCACTGTGGGATGGGGCTAGTGGGCACTGGGTGGCACTGGGTGGCCCTGGGGTCAGCAGCACCCTGGGGTGCTGTGGTGGGAGCCCTCTCTGGTCTGCGCTCACCTTTTTGGGCTCGCTGAGGTTGGCGATGTGGAGGGTGTAGACCCCGCTGGCACGGATGCCCGCCCGGCGCACCTCGGCGCAGTCCTGGAAGAGCTGCTCCTGCCCGGGCTGCGGGGCTGCGGCAGAGGGGATGGTGAGATGGCAGAAACCCCGCTGGTGCCGCAGCCCTGCCTGGTTTTGTTGCTCTTCCCCGCTCCCTTTGGATGCTTTTGTGCCTACGGATTATTTTTCTGTCTTCCACATTGTCTCCCTGGGGCTGGGTGAGCCGGCGGCTGCGATGCACTGGGGCTGCTGCCAGCCTAAGCCTGGGGATTCACCGTGGCTGGGGACGGAGTTGGGACATGGACCCTCCTCTGTGGGCTCGGAGCTGCTCCTCGGATGCAATCCAGCACTCATTTTTGGGGTGAAGTCACCCACACCTGAGCTGAACACGGGGGCCCTGCACCTTCATGGTGGGGGCGAGGAGCTCTCCCGCTGCCTGCGCCCTGCCTGCGCGCCGCGGCTCACCTCTGCCCTGGGAGACGAGGCGCACCAGGCTCTGCACTGACTGGAGGAGCTGGAGCTGCTGGTGCTGGAGCAGGCTGGTGTTGGCACTGGCGGCCAGCAGCGACTTCTCCAGCTCCTCGATGGTGCCACTCTGCCGGATCACCAGGCGCTGCAGCTTCTCCTTCTCCGAGCGGGCCCCCGCCAGCTCCGCCTGGTGCTTCGTCTCCATCTCCAGCACCCGCACCTCCAGGATGCTGAAAGGGGGAGGCAGCGGTGACGGACGGGGTGGCTGTGCCTGTGCCAAGCAGATGGGCAGGGAGCGGGCGGCGGAGCAGACCCAGCCCCAGCTGCGGTACCCCAGCACATCTGCAGGGACCCAGAGCTGTCCCCGTCCCCTGCTGCACCCACCGAATCGCACCCCGCCTGGCACCTCTGGGACGGGCTTTAGCTAAGGGGAATCAAAGCCCAGGGGGCTGTGCTGGGGTTGTGCAATCCCCCAGGGACCCCAGCCAGCCCCTGGAGGGGTTCAAGCCCCCCCAAAGTGCAGCCGCGCTCCTGGGAGGGGAGAGACCAGCCTCCCCCTGGGGGTCGGGGGCTGTGGGGGTCCCCAGGTCGCCCCAGGCCCTACTTGTTCCTGTTCTGCAGCTTGTGGATCTCATTGGTCTGCAGCAGCAGCTGCTTCTCCAGCTTGGTGGTGGACAGGGAGTTCTCCTGCAGCTGCATCTCGATACGTGACGTCTGGTTCAGCACCTGCCCCGGGAGCGGAGGGGAATGTCGGCGTGAGCAGCCAGGGCCACGCCACGTCCTCGGGCTTGCGGCTCCCCGGCACACAATCCCGGTACCTCTGCACACCGGTACATTAAACCATGCATCACCTTGGGGAATCGCTGCACTTTTAGCAACAGAGAAATGTCATCCGCCACGGTCCTGGGGGTGGTGGGGACATGGGGACATGCGTGCCATGCGTCCCAGCCACCCCCTACCTGGGCCTCCACGTCGGTGAGCTTGCGGCTCTGCTCGGCGCTCTGGTTGAGGAGGGTGCTGCCGATTTCCAGCATGGTGGCGGTCTGGTTCTGCACCGCCGTCTGCCGCAGCTGCGCCATCTCCGGCTTCATGCTCATCTGGATATAGCTCTCCAGCTGCAGAGGGGAGTGGGGACGTGGCGGCTCATTCGGGGAGCTTGCCGGGTCCTCCCTCGGCACCCCGGCTGAGCCTGGCAGCGCTCGGCACAGTCCCCAGGCTCATCCCTGGGAGCGTTTCAGCATGGCACGACCCATCTCGGGGCCCGTTGAAGCTTATTGGGAGGACAGAGCGAGCTGCCTGCAGGCTGCGCTGCCGCAGGGGAGCCCCCTTGGGCACCGGCTGCCAAGATTCCTGGGCCGCGGTGCCAGCCCGTTTCCTCTCGCCAGGACCTGGCATGGGCTTGTGTGCGCCCAGGTCTGCTGGCAAGCTGGGGCTGCTGCCCAGCCAGCGTGGTCTGTGCCGAGCAGATGGGCAGGGAGCGGCTGGGGACGGGAGCAGCGCTTGGGCCA